CGCAAAGATTTATTCTCGAATTTAAAGAAACCGAAGTAGATTGTTCCCGATGCGGGCAAAGCCTGTTTATCTCATCAGGTAGGACGCATTGGTGAGCTAGTTCGCCACATCACACATAATGCAGACTGATAGATGTTCCGTACATCAAAATGCCACCCGAGAGAAGCAAGCAATTCTAGACAAAGAAATAAAACACAAAAAGCGAAAAACATACAACAGAAGGGATTCGCTGGTGGTCACCCACCCAACTACTAACCTCCCGGCGTGTGGCTTAAGTACGGCTGAGCGGACGGGAAGCCCTGTTTTCCACACCCTATGGTCGTATGTGCTTGTTTTCGGTATGAAACGGTATATATCTAACTTATCCTAGTCGATGGTTTAAGAGCATAGTATGATATCGAGTCACATAAGGATATGGTTGTTGCACAGTCGCGGGCTAACGGCTGTTCTGTGACTGGGTCTTGCTAGCGATCTACAGATGCTATCACCAAGATCACTCAAGATAGGTCTCATAATCTATTCGTAGATACCTATCGACGACGCCTACGTAAGATCTAGCTTAATTCTCTCCAAAAGCCGTTCAAAGCTTAGCAGATCTGCTCTTATCGAGAGTAGAACGAGTCAAAGTCCCCTTTATCAACCCATTTGGTGCCGATTGCGGCAAATACACCTCTGCGTCTTTGTCTGTGTTCCGAATGCCCTTGTGCCAGCTCAGGTCTATTCACATTCAATGTTAGTATGTCAGAAAGAAGCAGTATGCGGTCAAGACGCCGGAACGTTGCGGAAGCTTACCTATCTCCACATAGTGTTTATTAGGCCATGAATACTCCACAGCATCAGCGAGAGGAACACAGTCCAAGAACCTCTCAGCCATCTTGTACAGAGTCGCCTGCGCGCTCATGCTATTATCTTCCGCGAACGCCTTGAAGGATGCGTCTCTCGCCTTTACAAACGCCTCAACGAAATGCGAGACATTCGCTTTGACGTCCGCAACATCTTCGAAGTGCTTCCATTTCCACTTGATATCCACGTCACTGCTCAGAATGCGGTCCCACGTCTCAGGCAATGTCGTGTATTCATCTTTGATGTATCCCCAGAACTCAGACCTGGTGCTCTTTAATACACTGAGGCCAAAAATAGCCGACGTGATATCGGTGCCTGAAGCTTTGGAAACATCCACGCGGATCTGTCGTTTGACGCTCCCATCCTGGAAGAATGAATGCGGGTGTGGCTCGTTCTCGATGGTCATTCGTTCCCAGGTATGGCAGGTAATGTCGATGTGGGCTGTGTGGATGTGGTTGTATTGGGTGATAAAGTGTTTTCCGAGGATAGAGCCGTATAGTTCCGGAGGGTGGACGGGGTTATGTTTGGCAACGATGTAACATGTGTTTTTAATTGCGTCTGTAGTTACAAGGACGCTGTTATCTTCCTTGGTGTAACTTATTGCCTGATTGTTAGTTGGGATTTGATATATAGCGAAATGTCGTGACGAGTGTCTCACGAAGATTCAATGTCTCCCTCCAGCAAGACGCAGACTGTCAGTTCGTATACAGTTTGCACACCCGTTCCTGCATCACGATGGACCTTGTATAGTCGAACGTTGTCTTTGCCATATTGTGCATCGGATAGGCCGTACATGTTGAAGGTTTAGTTATTAACAAAGACACTTGTTCCAAGACGAGATGGTACGGTTCGAGAAACGCGATCTCAGTTGTTGATATATCACTCAGGCACCTCCTTGCTGTCTGTGCTGCAGTCGGGCACCTCCGACGTCCGGAGAGGCCTGAACTCACGGATGGTGCCGCTATCTCTTCAATGGATAAGCTCCAGACCGTCGGATAAGGCAATATACAGGGGTACTGATAGCGATGTGACGTGATGCGTCATTCTGAAGATCTATGATAGATGCCATTCTCTCGATAACTATAGTGCGTCTTCTCTCGAGATAGGTGGTCTTATACCCATAAGTATCCAGCAAATACAGACAACCTTTTCTCCATTTGTCAGAGATCGGATAAACGCCCGGGCTTTGTGAGTTACGCCATGAGAACACAATGATTTACAGTGAAGTTAAATACTGAGCAACAATCAATCCATAGAAGGCTATGATATTGAACCTGTGTTGTAGGATATTTAGCTGGCCGTTGCCGGCATCTTACAAAGACTCGTTTTGCCCTTTCAGCGGTTTCTTGTCATCACTAAATGCGCCGATGCATGAAGCCATCGAAATAAGACGTCACATCTTCAACATTGTCCAAGCCAGTGACAAGTCCAATATAGCCATCTGGTCTCACCACCACCAAAGCACCGGAGTCGTCAGAGACACCGAGCTGGCTTTTTGCAGCTCCTGAAAAGTCAGAATATATGTTCATGGGCCATTTCGAGGAAAATGGAGCAGGGATATCTCCCAGTTGAATATCAAGGTGGTTCTGTGAGTGAATCAGAAAAAGATCAAGCACATATGCCTTGTTGGTGAATGGAACTGAGTCCGTTGTGATGTCCTCATGACGGAAACGTTGCATAAGTTCCAGTGGCAGAAGATTGAAGAGACTCATTGGTGAATGAGGTGAGTCCAAAGCATTTCCGAGATTCTGGAGGGTAGACGAAGATAGGTCATTGCCGGCAAAAATGAAGAGATGAAACCTGCCATTGGATGGCATGATGTCGAGCATGCGAACATGATTGCCGTCGATGTGTCGAATCAGATCGATAGGTAAAAGACGCTTGCCCGGCGTGAGGGGTTCCACTACTTGGTTGTTGATGGAAGTCCGGACATCGCGGTCAACAATCAAGTTTGGAGGGTACTCATACCCACACCCGCTTGTGAAGCCATGTCCCATTTCCCATGTTTCGCGGAGGTTCTGACTGTCAAGTTTATCCTTTTGTCCAAATTGACGGGCAAACAAGGCGTCGAATTCAATAAGCTGTTGGGCAACCCAAAGTCTTTCTTGTTCGTACGTTTCGAGCAAAGATGCCTTTGCAACACCTTTCATGACCAGTGCCAGCTTCCATGTGAGGTTGTATGCGTCTGAAATGCTGACGTTCATTCCTTGTCCTGCCTTAGGACTATGTGTGTGACATGCATCTCCAAGGAGGAAAACTCGCTTGGTCGGATCACTGAAATTATGGACAACTCGCTGGGCAACGCGATACTGGCTAATCCAAACGATGTCTGTGATATTCATCTTGTAAGGATGAATGACCTTGCTGATGTGGGACTGGACGGTCTGGGTGAGTTTGAAAGCGCTATTTCCAGTAAGGGCATCTTCCGCCGAAGCCCCGTTTGCATTGAGATGCTCCTGACTTTTCTCATCCACCTGCAGGAAAATCCGGAGTCCCTCATCCTTGCGAGGGATCAACATGCAGCCACCATCTGGAGTTCGGATGGCACAACGTCTTCTGTAATCGGGAAAGTCCGTGTCAACATAAACGTCCGCGACAGCCCAAACGTCCTCGCCGCCCTGCGAGGATGATTGCACACCGGTAGCTCGGCGTGTAGCGCTACGCGCGCCATCGGTACCTAAGATGTACTTCGTCTGCCATGCTTCAATGGCCCCGCTAGCATTATTCTTGATGTACGCTGTGAGCGGCCATTCGGTTTCTGAGCTGTGTTCATAATGAACAAGTTCCATGAATCGCTGGACCTTTTGCCCCTTGGTGTTCAAGTACTGTTCAAAGACATCTTCCGTCATGCCTTGGTCGGTATTAAAAAGGTACTGGTACGGCGTGGCTTTGAAAAAGTCAGCTATGTCGGATTTCACATAACCGCCTCATCATCTGCGGAAGAACTTACCATGGACCACCTCAGCGCCGGTGAAGTTACTGACTAGGGCGCCCGTGCTATCACGCATCCAAAAAGAAGTTTCGGTAAGACGATGTCCCCTCTTGTCAAGATCATGAAGTAGATTCATCGTCTGCAGAATCTCTTGGGTTCGAGGTTGGAATGCTTGGTGGAATGATCAGCTTTTTCGTCAAGTCAACAAAAGGAAATTCAATTGGCGCACCACTTGCATGTCCAGTCTGTGTTCTTGTGGGCCTTTTGTCAATCAGGCAAAAATCGATGCCGTATCTTTGCAGCGTTGCCGCCGCCATGCATCCAGCGGGACCAGCGCCGACAATGAGAACATCCGTCCTCTGCGACTTGAAGGCGCTAAACTGATACGATTCGATAGTCATGGTGAAATAATGATTAACGACACTTTACTTTTGCGTTTTGGTTTTCCAAGTAGGAATGTCAATGAGAGTTAATGGCCTAGTATGAGGGGCTGTATGCCGTGGATTTCCCATCCCCTTTATACCTCCACCGATGTGATATTTGGCCCCAGGTAAAGCCTCATGGTAGACCTCAAGGCGAACTACCAAAAGTACATCAATAGCACCGTCACTATCACAAGAGGTCTGGTCTCTTCAAAGTCATCCTTCCATGAATGCCGAATTGTCTGACGAATTTTCGCACGCGCTAATGCACATTGCCACTGATATTCAACGAATCCAGAATCAGGTTCCGGTCAGGAAATCGAGCTGAACGGGCCACTGTTTCGAATACGACCGTGCGAGTATTCCTTTGGCATCATTGTTGAGCCGCTTAGCTCTGAGGAAGGATGCTCATTCGTATCCTACTATGATGACGGGCGCCGGAGACCAACATCCTAGGAATAGCGTGAACTCGCAAATAGGAATTAGGTTCGCACACGAATTTTCCTCGCCACTCGTTGTTCAATGTACTTAGTTGAGAGTCGGAGATGACTTGAATGGCCTGGGTGAGAGCCATCAGCGGGAAGACTGAAGGATGCGAAGGAATGAATGGGGGCCGCTTTGTTAGCCTCCATGCCGTCCGCCGGTTTATATGAGGCTAGACACACAATGTAACCCTGCTAGGCCGTTCTCGGGGTCAGGCCCGACGATCGAATCCTTCAACTCGGCATAGGTGCAAAATCAACAAAAACGTGAAAGGTGTGTGTTGGTGTCTTTCAAAACAAGTCAAAAGTGCTGGTATGAAGTGTCTGCGGCCTGCACGCGAAGTGTATCCCGAAAAACATTTTAACATTGGTCCAGAAGAGCCCTGAAGTCTGATCATGAGGGCACCCAGTGCAGCTCTCCACCGACCCATGTCTAGTGGACGCCCTGGCTGTTTCGGCATGATCCACAGCGGAAGCAGTGGGCCAGGATCTGACATCTGACCGTGCCCTGGTCCACCCCGCACGCCTTCCGTGAAGAATCGAGTAATCAAGCATAATCAAGCACTCAACTGTTAGATCTGAGGCTGTCGGCGGTCGCCGTTCCCCGTGTGCCTGGAGAAGACGTCTTGATCTGCGTTACCAGATTTATCGCGAGGAGGAAGGATCTACATGGCGGAAGACGGGAGACGGGAAGTGATAGACCCCTCCGCAGGACCATTCAGGGTCTCGATGGTCTTCCCCGCAAGGTCCATTGCAAGGGCCAGTGGTTGATCAAGGGTCTGAGTTCCTACTTGCATCGGTAGTGGTCATCAGCTATCGGTCAACTCCGTCAAATCAAGGAATATTAGGGACGGTGGCTGCCGAAGTCTCACATATCCGCAGAAGACATGGATTAAAGTGGAAGAATGAGAACCGTATGAGTCAGTCACTCTATGCCCCGAGCAAGTCAGCTTGATTGCATATACTGGTGATGAATGATAAGAGTTATCTACTGGGGAAGAGATAACATTGGTAATGGTTCATGTTCTGGTTACCAAATCCACTCTTAGCGGTGGGGGCTGAAAGGGTTAAATATTGCAGCACCCGGAAGAAAGATAAGACCCACTCTGATACCAAGGTAATGCCTATCTACATATGATTTCCCGTTTCCCCCATTGATCAAAAGCACATCCTAAATAAGAAATGTCGAAATATCAGCCAGCATCTTAACTATACTTAAAAGACACAACCTCAAGCTCTACTGTTGTATCTTTTTCTGGTTCAACGTGAGCCTGACGAGATTCTACTTCTGAATCCGGTTGTAGATATTGTTCTTGGCATGCAGGGACACTATTGCGGGTCCCATGGTTTTCTCTACGAAAATGCGGCTTTCTATGAGTTAGTGATTCTGTCCTACTGCCAGATAAAATTCTCTTATGCTGCACTATATCATAGACCATAGAATGGGCCAACTACGGTAGCAAGTCTGTCCTTTTAACGCTTTCGGCACATACATCTCCAAATCATTCATGATAACTCTTATTTCAAACCTGAAAGTGTACTCGATAGAACTACAATGTGGCATGTAGAGGTACCTCAATTGAAGAAGTGTATTTTGCTGGTAATAGACCTTTATCCTGAGAACACCATCTATTGAACCTTCCCTCTAGCATCCACTGACCAGATCTCCTCAATGACTCCACCCCGATGAGCAAAATAAAAGTCATGCAAATTGATCGTCGGATCAATGTGACTCGGGACCATCTCCACCCTATCCCCAACTTTCAAATCCGGCGTCCCCTCGTCCCAACTCAGCGCACCATGCTCATCACCCAGATTCTGATGCGTGTATCTGGAATCCTTACACTCCGCCAACCCACTATCTGTAGTCAACGACTTCAACCCCGCATCAATTGTAACCTGTCTCTCCCCCTGCCGACTCACTACCGTCGACAATATCGTCAGACTGTTCGAGTAATCCCTCCCGATCGCATTCCGGTAATCCGTATCCATAAAAATGAACGACCCCGGCTGCAACTCCGTCACACCGGGCACAGAGGCACAAAACTCCACCGTTCCCGTCCCACCTCCAGTCACCACATCGATCTGGAAGCCTTCCTTGCGCAGCGCCTCCGCCGTCTCCGTCAATATCTTCATGGATGCCAAACATTCCTGTCGTCTCTCCTCATAACTATGCATATGCTGCACATGTCCCTCATACCCCTGCACCCCGATCAACTTCAGATGCTTCAGGCCAGACAGATGTCTCGCGAGCGCCAATGCCGCCTTCGCATCAGTCACGCCCGTACGGTGCAGCCCCACATCCAAATCAATCAGAACCGCCAAGGGCGTCGTTATTCCCTCCCTCTCCAATGCCTCATTAATGGCAGTAGCCCCGGCTTCACTATCCACCACGGTGCGCAGTCGCCCCGGGTGTTTCTTCACCAATTCAACGAGTCGCTGGACTTTCGGTGCGCCGATAATCTCGCATGTAATCAGAATATCGTCGAACCCGGCGGCTGTGATGGCCTCGGCTTCTGAGACCTTAGCAACGCAGCAGCCTTTGGCACCCGCGGCGACGAGCCTCTTTGCTAGGGCAGCACACTTGGTGGTTTTGAGGTGCGGACGAATGTTCAGTCCTGTGGGGAGGAGGGCGGAGAAGAGTTTCTGGATGTTGGATTCCATCAAGTCGAGATCGACGATCATTGAGGGGGTATCCAGGCTCGAGAGCCGGTCGCCGATTCGGGGAGTATACATAATTTGCGTTTCAGAGGAGAGGTGAGTAGCGGGAGGGTGAGTGATGAGAGTGTATATTGGTGAAGAAAGGGCGTGGGGATGGGATTTTAAAAGAGGGGATGGTGCCCCTCCTTGGCGATGAATGTTCAGGCCGTGCGCCCTTGCAGATGGAGATAGGCCGAGATCCGAGAGCGATAAGCAGGACCATCCCTACTTATGTTCAACCCTCACCACCTTCGAACATATTAAGTCATGATATGCCCCTTGTTATGTCACAATATCAGTTGATGTTCTTTCTGGATCTCGGAAAATTAGCTACCAACGAAAACTTGGTGGTAGGAAGAAAGAACAAACAAACATGCGGAGGAATGTATTCCCCGCACGCAGGCGATCATTGCTATTTTGGGACCAGCGCATACCCCTCAGGTATCTACTGAACATACCCCCTGACCGACTTCTCCAGATCCTACTTACGCCTGTCAAAGCTGTCACAAGAAAGAAACAGCCTTGAGAGTGTAGATTTATGGTACTTCCCTGAGAATACCTAATCTCCATCATCAGTCGTACTATCCTCGTCAACACCACCACCACCACTACTAACAATAACCAGAAGGAATAATGGTTAGGAAGGTGTCCGGAAAACGATCTCGCCCTATGATTCATCATGCCTGTGTATTGCAATTTGAATCCATTCATGTTCATGTTTTCTAGCCGATCTCGGTCCCGAAATAAGACACTAGCTGTTCCATTCACTATCTTGATTTTACAGACAAGTACTGCCCCCTACCTGCCTGTTCCAAATGTACCGAGCTGGACAGCAGCATAATCCTGTCTATAACATCAATTTAGAACGATGTCGTGGATTTTCTGCCGATGGTCTATGAACATGCTGTCATTCCGTCAGTTGTTTGATGATCTCCCATCATTGTTCACTTGCGGTCAACTTCAGGACGCAGATTGGGGGACGTTTCCCGTCTAGACGTACTCTGAGAAATGTGACGCATGTAAGTGGAGGGGTGTTGTAAGCATAGTTTCGGATTGGGACCATTGAGAAGAGGTGATTTTTCATCCGCACGCGCATGCCATTTTTAATAGAGATACAGTCGCACTGTGGCTCTTCAACCGAGTACACATATCCCCGGATGTCCTTTCTACTGTCCTTCCTGTCTCTGCTGCTGCTGCTGCTGCTGCTGGTCTTGGTGCTGCTGGTCTTGGTGCTGCTGGTCTTGGTGCTGCTGGTCTTGGTGCTGCTGGTCTTGGTGCTGCTGGTTGTGGTTGTGGTAATCTTGGTGATGGTGATCTTGGTGATGGTGGCCTTGGTAGTTCTGACTCTGGCGCTGATACTGCTGGTGGTTCTGCCGTAACAATAATCAGTCTAATGCCATCCAATGTATCGAAATGCAGAGTACTAACACGGTAGTGGCGCCGCTGAATCCTCTGTTGCCATTCGATCTAGTTGTACAAGTTAGTTTTCTGCATTATATGCTTTCCTATATAGCTAACCTCGACGCGTCTAGCTCCCTGTAAGAAGTGAGATTGGTATGAGCCACACATCTAGGGTAAGAAGCAATACGGATGAATCATACCAGTATTTCTAACCCCCGGTATAGATAGCAGTTCGCGATCAAATGGCCCCCGCGGCCACAGAACCGGCACTGCATTCGAGCCTTGTTAGCAAATTGGCATGAAGCTGGAATGACTTAGTTTCATCATAGATAGGTTATAACACGTACTCTTCTGGGTCTCCAGCCACCGCGTCTGCCACGGTCACGGTCACCACCGCGACCACCGCTACCGCCATTTCCATGTTCTTCGTGATAAGTAGAAGCTCCAGTGTTGCTATCCGATGGCATGATGTTTACCGGAACTTCTATATATCAAATTAGAGGAGAACTCATCTCCCGAAGGAATGCGACTATTTGAAAGGAAGATGAGATTGTGCGTCAGGAAACTTTGATTGAGCCAGGACAACAACCTTCACTGAACAAAACTACCAAACGTGGACTAGTACGTATGAGCATCGTCCATTTTGGGTCTAGGTCCAGTTTCTTTATTTTTATTATTCTTGCATTCAATGTGCAATCAGTGTCTAACATCAATGTGGCTGAGCCACTATAACAATTCATACACATCGGAACTTTACCTCGAGAATTAGTCCATTACCATTGTACCTGAAAGTAGCCTTAATATCCTCTGGCTTCAGGTCGGTGAGATAGACTTCATACCCAGTGCAGCTGAGCTATCCATATAGGCCATGGCCTCGAACAGATATAATCCGCAAGCGTAAATCCCGGTAAGGGGCATAGATAGTCCCCTCGAATAGACAAAGATGTATACTCGTCCCCTATGATAATTGCGTGATGGGCCACTATCCAGCACAGCACCTGCTGATGGTGGGAATTGTAAGCATTATCACGCATCATAATCCAGGGAGTATATATGATTAGTAAAACATAAGATAGCGTCCGGTATATCCGAGATCAGATAGAATCAGCCAGTAATGCTTGATGGTGTGGCTTAATAAATCTTTGATTGTCGAGCTAAGACTTTCGATAGGGGATGTATGTGCGCGCCGATGGCCCGATCCCTCACAGCACGTCCAGTCAGAAGAGTCTACCAAATGGTGTCAATCATCTATCCTGAGTTGCATAATGCCATTCCAGAATGACGACTTCCACAACATCATCTGTCCACTCGGATGTGTGAAACTGCCGACCGTTATCGGCCATGTAAGGCGTGATCGCCTAGTGTCTCGCGTCATCTCAGTGCACCGCAGCACATCCCATGCGGGGTTCAGGGCAAGAAGTACAGCCCCCCCCCCCAAAGATTATAAATGCTATGTTCATCCTGATCAGTGCCTCCGTGTCATTGCATAGACTATAGATCATCTTTCACCATGCCTACTGAATTTATCAGCCTTACCTTCCCCAACGCCTCGACCGAGGTCGCGCCTATCCCCAACGCCCGTATTGACCCCGACTACCTCGTCCGCTATGCGCGCTCCCTAGACGACTATGGCTTCAACTACACCCTCGTGCCATACGATTCGTCTTATTTCGACCCCTTCACCATCGGAGCCACCATTGCGTCGGTGACCAAGAACCTCAAGATCATCATCGCCCTCCGCCCCAACACCCTCTACCCCACCGTCGCCGCCAAAGCCCTCGCTACCCTAGATCAGCTCAGTCGAGGACGCGCCGTAGTCCACCTTATTGCCGGCGGCAGCGATGCCGAGCAAGCCAAAGAAGGAGACTTCCTCACCAAATCCCAACGCTACGGCCGACTAGAAGAATACATCCGCATTCTCCGCCGGGCCTGGGAATCTGATGAGCCCTTCGACTGGGAGAGCGAATACTACACCTTCAAGCAATTCAGCAACCGCGTTCGACCTGCCAACCCCAACGGGACCATTCCCGTCTCGGTGGGTGGCTCTTCTGATGAAGCCTACCGCGTAGGCGGCTCACTAGCCGACATCTTCGGTCTCTGGGGCGAACCGCTCAAGGAAACCAAGGAACAGATCGATCGGATCTATGCCGAAGCCGAACGCGCCGGTCGTGCACCAAACGATCGCCCCCGTATCTGGGTGACTTTCCGGCCTATTATTGCCGAGACGGATGAGCTAGCCTGGGCTAAGGCGTATCAGACGCTCGATAAGTTGAAGGAGCATCGCGCGAACGGACAGGGCAAGGCGCCGCCCAGTGCTCCGCCGCCGCAAAATGTTGGGTCCCAGCGTCTGTTGGATATCGCGGCGCGTGGGGAGGTCCAGGACCGCGCGCTCTGGTATCCCACTGTCACAGCGACAAATGCGCGCGGCGCGTCCACAGCATTAGTTGGATCGCCGCAGACTATCTCGGATTCGATTTTGGATTACGTGGATTTGGGCGCCGAATTGATCTCTATCCGCGGGTATGATAATCTCAATGATGCGATTGATTATGGGCGGTATGTGCTGCCTAAGGTGCGTGGGGAGTTGAAGGCGAGGGAGAATGGGAATTGAGGATGTCGCATGATGAACTCAAGCTTCACTCTTCAGGTAGTCTGAAGAATATGGATAGTAACTGTCAGATAAAGTTGATAGAAATTGATCGAAAGGGTATGCTTCCCCAACCTGACTGAAGCTGTATGCGTTAGTAAATAAGGCACACAAGGCATCGAACTGGTAGTTGGCTACGGTGAGAAAAACCGGCAAGGAAAAAGTAAAGTAGGAAAAGTAAACTTATCAACAAAAGCAAGCATATCACACTAGATTTAGAAGAGAACATATAGGTCTGATCGAGTCGATGACCACAAGTTCTCGAGCATTTTGACAAACAAAAAGGGAAAGGAGAATTCCAAAAATGTAGTCTCAAATCAAAGCAAAGGACTCTACTACATGTCCAGGCATCCAAACTCACCACCTGAAAAGCAACGCCAAGAACTGCACCACACTGCATCTTGAACACGATAAGCTTTCCTCCAGCCAGCGGAGCAGCAAATAAAATCTCACCACGCGACCGTCTGGATAGTTCATCTACCCGGACCACCCGATCGCTCCACCCATTCAAGCCACTTCTCCCCCATCAAAACAATCTCATCTTTTCTCCATCCTCCCAACCTCACCCATCTTCAACAAGAAAAACCCCCCCCCCACGAAAACAAAGACCATGCGATCTCCAAGCGACCCTCTCCTCGCCTCCGAAACCCAACCACTCCCTCCAGGCCAGATCTATCTCCCTGACGACGAGGAAAACACACCATCCACCGAGCCCCTCATTGCGCGCTGCCGCCAGTCGGCCCGCAACTACCTCTCCTCCCGATTCGGTCACTACCTCGTCCTATTCCTTGTGTCTGTAGATGTTGCCTGTGTTTTTGCCGATTTCTTGATTGAAATCCACGTCTGCGAACTGGAGAAGAAGTACAAGCATGTGCCTTCTGGGTGGGAAGATGCTCAGGAGGCGCTGAGTATTACCGGACTGGTGTTTTCGTGTCTGTTTATGCTTGAATTGGTGGTCGCTGTGGGGAGTTTTGGGATGAGGTAGGTCTTTTGCCATACTTTTCCCTACACTTTCGTCACTTCACAGAGCTAGAGTAGTTGGGCTGCTCGGGGTATGAGGCATTGCAGCTAGCTAACGATACTATCGCAGTTACTTCTCATCTAAGTTCCATATCTTCGATTCAGCGGTTATTATTGTCGCGTTCGCCATTGATGTGGCAATGAGAGGGTTGGTTGAGGAACTGGGTTCCTTGGTCGTGGTTTTGCGGTTGTGGCGCGTGTTTAAGATCATTGAGGAGCTGGAGTCCGCTAGTGCGGATTCTTTGGAGGAGTATGAGCGGGAAATTGATCGATTGAAGGAGGAGAACTACCTGCTTCGTCGCAGGGCGGATTTTGGGGTTGATGGGGTGAATTGAGCTTGGCATAGTGTTATACTACCTAGGTATGTACATGTGTGTAGGGTGTGGGGTGTGGGGTAGGCTGGCTGGTGGACTGAGTGGATGATTAGAAGGGTTCTATGTAGATGGCTGGTGGCAGTGTAGAGGTTATGTGCATGAGAGATTTCGGGTATATAGTCCAGTCCTTGGTCATTGTTTGGAGATCTTCTGGTAGCGGTTCGAACATAGACAGTGATTTGAAGGCGATTCGAGCGTCCAATTTCTTATATCTGTACCATTTTCTTGGAGACCGCACCAGGGCGCAATATCCCTGGTAAGGCTGAGAAGATGCAGGAAGCTTACCACTTCTCCACCTCATCCTGCACGATTCTCCACCTACACCCCGCACTGAAAGCGACACACGATCGCATTTCCATATAACTAGGAAATCTTTAGGAGTGAATGTGTCGCTACGCCATACATATAAATCATGCGAATTTTCAGGCACCATTATATTTGCAGTATACACCTTCATATGAGGAATTAGCCATTTCAACAATCCAAACATTTTCATCGAAATAAATGCAGCCGTTAACCCGCGTCAGACCTTTTCTGCATGAGAGCATATGTATTGGATACTCTACACGATATGTCTGTACTAGACTCATAATCATCTATGCAACTTCATGAAAGGCCTTGCTAACCCAGAAGCTCTAAGCTCGACCGAAAACCTCATCAATAAACTCCAACCCCCTGTTATACGCCTCCACAGACCCCTTTGCCGGCTTGGGTGGAAACCCCTGACTGAAATCCATCAATCCATGCGCACCCCCCTCAACAAGCAACAATTCCGTCTTAACACCCAACTTCTTCAACTGCTCATAATGGTTGATACTCTCTTTATCGGGGACAACATCATCCGCAGTTCCATGCACAAACACCGCAGGCGGATGCTCCTCAGTCACATGCAACTGCAAAAACGCCGGCTTCAAGTCCTCCGGAATAGCAGCCGCTCTTTGCGAATACTCCACCTTATTCAACTCCGCACCTAGCCCAGGCCGCCCCAAACATCCATCCAGGAACGTTCCGTCTAGTTCCCACCGCACCGTCAGCGCAAACCGGTTCGTCATCATACCCCTATCTTCGGGCATGTCATCGCTGACGACGGTCTTGTCGGCCAGTAGCTTGGGGACTTCGTCCAAGTTCACCATGCTAGCAATGGAAGTGGGAGGACGGCCAGTCGTCCAGTGATCGAGGAGCCAGTCGCCGGCGCTACCGAACCCGGTTAGCATGGCGGCGGGCTTGGGGGTCGCGTAGATGCAGGCAGCGCGGGCGGAGTATCCGCCTGCTGAGAAGCCGGTTACGGCGACGCGGGTGGTGTCGAGGGTTGTGTCTTCTGGAAGAGAGTTCTGGAAATCTCCTGCTAGGAAGCGGAACATGGCCTTCGCGTCTTCAATCTGGTCGAGCGCTGTGGTGGGGTGGCAGAGACGGTAGTCGGCGGAGATGAAGATGTAGTTCTTTTGTTGGCAGTGGTCTGTTTGCTGTGTTAGACATTCTGTTTGTCTAGTTTGGCCTCTGAGGTATTACGGGGGAAGACGTACTGTATAGCCAGTGCGGGAATCCCATGCCCCGGCGGGAGCCGGCGGTCATGCCGCCACCGTGGTAGTAGATGATGGCGGGGAGATTCCCGCTCGCATTGGGTGGCAGGTAGTAGTCGAGCTTGACATCGTGGCCATCTACAGTGAAGTAGACGAGGGTTTTGCCTCCTTCAGGGAGACGTGGCGGCATGTTTGCTAGTTGATGCGGGGTTGAGATGTTCAGCGTAGGGACTATGGCCGTGTGTTAGTGACGCTGTGACTAAGGGAAGACTGAGGGGGCGTTACCAATATATACAAATTTCTCTAGTGAGATAGTGTGTGAGTTTTCCTATACTAATGTGCCAATGAAAGTCAATTTGTATCCAAGATCAGGCAGCAGCGGAGACTGGAGTTTCCCAAACATTATGATGTTGAGCCGGGTGAGTATATAGCCGCTAACCCCACTATGCCGGCAAGCCGAGATTCGGCACTACCTCGGCTCTAAGTCTATCGCAAATAGACTCGGTGGAGACTCTGGTTACAAATTGCATGGAAAGGCTGTGCAGACCTCGGTACTTCTATTTATGGAGTCGTGGTGAAAGATTCGCCGAAAACTCGATGACATCACACCGTACTGTGTATACATCTGCGTCCGTGGTCCAATCGTCAGACACGACAATGCAAGACATGCCTCTTTTTTGGGAATAATTGACGAGACAGTGTAGGTCTTTCTTACTGTACCCATGATTATTCGTTTCTTTCTCTTTCAAGTTACGTTCCACAAAGTTCTTCGATTTTGACACAAGTCTCAAGCGTTGATCATATCTGCGGTTGCATCATGCATCCAGCACTTATAATTTCTACAGAAATTCCGTCGTTCACTCTGGACAGGCTCTGTTTTAGGTGCATATATTCCTGTTTCGATAAGCTAAATTAAGGACAGACTAGACACAAAAGAATCCAAACACAATTTTTGCGCAGGCTGACTGCCATCACCCGGGTATCGGCCAACCCCAGACGAACATTGACAAGAGGCACTACAAGCCCGCAGTAAAAACCAAACAAACGAGCGAAACAGGATCTTTCACGACGCGTGAGCAAGTGAAACACTCCGCACCACGGTCTGAAACCTCAACTAGTGGCAGTAGCCATTGGACATCTGGTATGCCTGAAGACAGCTATTGCATCCATTCTGGCGACAGGTGTTCTGGGAGGTACAGTCGACCGTCCTGCACATTTCCTGGCTTGGCATTCCAGTACCCGTGGGGAGCGACTGGGACACGCTGCTGGGCGCCCTGGAAGGTATCTGGTCAGTATCAGGGTTGAGCAGCTGGTCAAGGTCCGTGACTTCGCGGCCGTCAACGCCTTGAAACATGCGTTGAAGGCGGGCTGCGTCCCGCTGTGGCAGGTTTTGGATGTACTGGCTGATTTGCTGCGGGCTCAACTGCTGGTAAGAGACAACCCGATTGGCTGCGTCGACGGATCTCAGGACGCCGTCATTGCCGAGGAACAGGACTCCATTGGGCGACTGGGGGATGTTGTTGATGATGTCGGTGACATTCTGATTGCTCTTTGATGGGTTAGTAGGCTTGGAGTCAGTGTTTGCTGGAGCTGGATCTTCTTACGTTGGACGTAGTGGGTACGGCGGGAGCAAGAGCGAATAGAACGCTCAAAACAGCCAGGATTTGGGCCTTCATTTTGTTGAAAAGATTTGAATGCTTTTGGGATATATTGGAACGTGTTATTTGCTCCTTGGCTGGATGTTGTTGCTGATGATGATAGAGATATGGCAGGAGAGAAGCACGAATTTATATTCGATTGCTTCCTGCAAATGTAACATAGCCTTAGGCATCTGTGTATTTTTTGCCAGGCTGCCTCCGACATATTCCGGGGTGTACGCTCATGGCAGCACAAAGATGATAACGGTGCTGCATGATGGACTGTGCAACTTTCGGGTAGCATTGCTGACACCAAATGGTGAAATGAGCAGGTAGTGGTAGAGTCATCGGCTTGTGTGAAAATGGGTTTTATTGTCAACTAAGTCGACGCTACTGACAAGCTTGTCCTCGACGATATTTTGAGAAGCGCTTATGTAACGTTAGGTTGACCTCCAGGAGCAGAGCGTTATACCGCAGGGTGTCCAGACGCAGAAATTTCATAATGCGTCCACCCATTGATGTCCGACAACGAGGAAAGACTGACAAACTGTGACAAAGACCATGATAGGTCGCATCCTTATTTTCGTCGATTAGAGTTATTATGTCAGAAGCTTCATCAGCTTTTTCATCAGCTTCAGCTGTTTTGCCCATAATCAGGCAGCGCCCAATCCATCAGGCTCCTGGGGAGTGAGGCGGTAGCATGACCCTGTGCTCGGAGAAGAAGGGTCTGGACTCCTTATTTCACAGAAGCCGGGCACGTCTTGGGGTAATCAGATCAAGTTTGAGGCGTATGTACCATCTAAGCTGACATACCATTTTGCTTGACATATCACCAAATGCATCATGTCCGCACAACATGGTGGAGCTTCCCGTTATAGTCTCGCTCACGACAGTCCCAGGGTATCGATACCCCAGCTAGGCAGTTATGCTTGAGATGTTGCGTCCCTACAGCCAGGTCGGGGTGAGATCGCGATGATGGCGTCCCAATCAATGCAGGTGATGTCGGTCGCATTATCGCTCTCAGATAGAAGGCTACTCACTCATTTGACTATGTGCAACTACCATTCGTATGGGGGCAACTACTCCGTAATAGTATGACGCTATAGCCTCTTCTGTTCAAAATGGACTTACAATTTCTGTCCGATATGTCTTGAATCTCAGGGAAACCAGGGATATCAGTATGATTGAAACGTCAAAATATGGTCATTGATACATGCTTAACAACAACAGATCCCCTTAGGAGTCAATCTTTGTAGGACTCATATGATTCCTCATCGTGCTCCTCCTCCGCAACTGATTCAAATGTGATCCCTCCAAAGGGGTCGAACAAATCCTTATTGTCACGGGAAGCGGAGCAATCCCGCAATGTATACTGGCCGCGTAATAAAGCATCCCGAATATCACGCTGGTGCTGTCGAAATTGCAACGTCCCAGTCTCCATTCCTGCTAACACGTCGAAGTGAAACTGGCGATGCTCGTATTTCATTTCTTCGGCGAAAGACTTCTGTTTTAAAGCCGGAGCATGCGTGTAGAGATAGGAGATCTGGCAAGCCAGAACAATTAATAGCATCGCATCATTGCTGGGACAGTCGAGCCAGCTATCGATTAGCGCATCCAAGAAACCTGGCAATGGCGGAAATGGCACTTTGAGCGACGGCATGACTTCTAAAGGCACAAATTCCAATCGGGTGTTGGACGTTAGAGGAAACTTCCAGTCTGTCGCGGGAAGGAGAACCGTTCTCGTCTCGCCGTCCGGGGATATTAATCGCTGTTGAGGGAAGTCCAACAAATCCACCTCCGCATTCCCAATGAGATGTGGTGCTTGCATATCGAAATACCACCCAGCCTTAGCAAGAATATTGGCAGCCGCATCGATAGCCTCAACGAGGATATAAAGGTCAAAAACAGCAGTAGGAACATCGAAGTGGACAAGAGCATCTTCAAACCATATGGCGTGCGAAATGTGATGGTTCATAAGCACTTGGCAGACATTGTATCTTGCTTCGCGTCCGCCTCCTCCCGTGCCAAGATGATAGTTGAGCCTGAACTCCGTAACTTTCATTATGATTGTGAAGACAAAAGACTAGGTTGCCGCTGATTCAAACTAAGACTTGAGCAGCTGATAGCTGCTGCTTTGTCGTGAATTTGATAGCTAGCTATCTTATCATGAACTTTGCTAAATAGGCACCAACACAATAGAAGGCTACGGCCGTACGTTGATCCGGCCATGACCGGATCGCCACCCTACCAAGTATAAATTACTTAGTATAGAGCATCACCCCGCTCATTCTTTTTTATTCTTACTTACGGTAGCATAACCTGGTATCGTCGCTTGTAGTTCCTCCACACTATCCACTCCCAAAGGGTCATGTCTTGACCTGCTTGCGTCGTTCAATCCCACACCAGTCCTTGTTCGTACCCCGCTTTGCTATCTTTCCCCTTAACGCTTAATAATAACGGTACTAGCCTGGTATGCGGAAGCTATAATTAGACCTTGACCACCGTTCTGCTTAGGGGATAGCACTGACATTCAATAATACGTGGGAAGTTATATTTTAATCATCATCTTTGCCGCCGTTAATTTTCGGGGGCGCTCCAATGTCATTGCATGATTCCCTCACATACCCCAACCCCGGCTTCGGACATCCATTAGCCTCAAAAGTCATCTAGATTTCTGGTGCTTTGTATTTAGGTCTCTTTGGTTTGTCAATATTGGATGCTGTCTAGTTTATGGTTCAAACAATTGGCACTGCTACACTAAGAGGCGGCATCGTAGCATTTGCAGTACAAGTTCTTATTTGAGAGGATTGAATACCCCGTAATAGATCAAAATATAAATTTGAATATTTGTCAATACTAGGCACTCTAGAGCTGGGCTGACTGTTTACTTTCACCATGCGAGACGAATAGCTAAGAGCTGGGAGCAGAAGGCGCTGTCGCAATCACCTTACCTGCAGCCTTGTGTATTTCAGGCAGCAGTGCAAGGTTGTGACTAGCACAAATGTCCTAGAAATATCAACGCATCAACATCAAATATACTACGAGTGTCTTTCTTCATTTTTACTTTTATTTTGACTAGGCTGCCAGTGATCAAGATCCCACACTGTTTGGTGATCGTATTCCCCCGGGGCTCAACCGCTTTCTATATGCTCTAGGTAGCATCAATACATCGGAAGGAGCGTAATCAATTGCTTTCTTGGTTCCACTGCGGTTGTATAATTGTGATATAACTCTAGAAGAGTAAGCTGGTAAGACAAAAAGGTCGACTAATATCATGAATCAGTTACTAACTGGTCCCACCTCTCCAAGCAAACATCATGACCTCTCCAGACCTTCATCCCCCGGCAGAAATACGCGCCGCCGCACTTGCAGTCGCAAACGCACTCACTCAATATGAGACCTACGCTCTTGTCGGCGGCAGCGCATGTGTGATTCTCGGCTCTACCCGTGCAACCCTAGATATAGATTTCGTCGTTCCTCAAGGCGAAACCTCAAACGCAAGACAGTTGCTGCGCGCCTCTCCTGACTTTGAGGTTGAAGCGAGAACGAACCACACAACTTACAAAGCACAAAGACCAGTGCAAATTGAGATTCTCACACCACCTCTCTTATTCAAGGAGCCCTTTGATCAAAATACGGAGGTGATTTTAGTCGAAGGGATAAAGGTTTTAAAGCCAGCTTTGCTTCTCAATGCAAAATGCGGCTCAATTACTGGTCGATCTACGGAGGACAAGAGGAAGACTGACTTATTTGATATTAACTTTCTCCTCAACTTCTGCGCTCAGAACCCAGAATACCTTCCACGGGCTGATGAGGTTCCAAGAGCAACAAAGCAGCTCGTTGACATTCTTGTTCAGCTTTATGGAGGCGAAGAGGCTTGGATTCAAGCGGGGTATGACATGCAGACAGGTAAGTCCTATCTAGACTTACTTAATGACACGTCAAAGCTGACGCACGACAATCAGGCCGTTTTAACAGAGAGTAAGCTAATACCACAAGTGATGATTTCTACCAATACGTACGAGATGTCGCGCAATCATGTATCAGTTACTATGGGGTGTATTGACAGACCTGATTCAATGATCGGTCTAGATTCTAAGGTATGCATCGCGCGTTTGATGTCCAACTCATTGGCTTTTTTTGCGCTATTCAGAATTATTTGACCTTAAGATATGCCTTTCTGTTCTACATCATAGAAGGCTCAGTTGGGTTCGGTGGAAGAAAAACTTCTTAAAATGCCTGGCTTGCTTTTGAAGATAAATCCATCAGGTTTATAAGCGTGTCTAGTCTTGCAATATTTTGCGTGTTGATTCTCAATCAATTCCCTTTTTCTTTTGCCTTTTTCCAGATAAGTTAAGTAGTCTATCTAGGCATTCTGCAGGTGGTGATGGGACAAGATTCGCATTTGTCTGATGGCCAAATAATGCCCGTCGCAAACGTATCGCCACACCGGCTATTGGACACTGTTAAGTATAATCATGAGTAATTCTTTCAAGCTCTAAGTTAATCATCATCTGGGTATATAGCTGTGTATATATGGTCCGCAGGATGAAATCAGCCTGCTCGTCACTCCTTGAGATATCTGATATTCGGTCTTCTCCAGATCATTGCAAGAGCCAACAATTGGGCGACAGAAAATGCCGCCGAAAGCTTGATCTGTGCGCTGTAAGCCATTGCAAAAACCTCGCGGGCACTAATTTGGATCTCTGGTGGAAATGACAGAATTGCTTCGGTTGTCTCTAAAAGAGCGCCCAGCTCTTCAGGTGGGAGGATGGATGAGAGCCGGCTTTGGAGATAATGATTGAGGATAGCAGCCGACGCTGCCACGCCCAAAACACCACCGAGCATTCGAAGCTGCAGTCCAATTCCCAAGGCGATGGACTGATCCTTTTTATTTACCACAAGTGGCGCGATCATGGTGAATGTAGCCATCGATAGACCTACACCCAGCCCACCCAGTGCCAAATATCCAAATTGGCCCGTCCAAAGCTTTGTGGTAGACGCGATTTCCGAGTAAAGAAACAACCCTATAGCCTGAAAGATAATACCAAATAACGCAATGTAGCTGAACGGCACTCTGAGACGGCCAGCCAAAAATGAACAGGCCATGATTCCAATAGGACAGCTCAGCGCAAATGCCAATAGCTTGACGCCCGCTCCAATCGGTGAGCTTCCGTTGACGGTTTGAAATCTTTGTGGAAGATTGAGAACACAGACAGTCAAGGGTAGACCCGTTGTAAAGAATCCTCTAGAAGTCGGCTCGTCAGTGGATCTGTTTAGCTTGGAAGAAAAGGAAACATACAACGCGGCACCCATTAAAGCGCGGTTCATTGTCAGCCTCCATGGGAACATTGGAATGATTTCGGAGTCAAGCCGATGAATAAACCACTCCCACAAGATAAATGCAATCCAAGACAGTCCTGAAATCACGAGGAAACTGATTACCATGGCGGAGGACCATGGGAGCCTGAAATTTCCCTCTTGGAGAGCTGCAATGATAAACAAACATGCTGTAAAAATAAGAAAGGAACCAACGAGGTCTAACTGTCGGAAAGAAGTCACGATCTTATCCCATATTCTGATTGACTTTGGTCTGGACTCGTCAGTTGACGCTTCGGGTTGATGTGGGAAACAAGCCGGTAGAACAGAGAATATTAGAACAAAGGCAAGACCGCCTGCTGGAACACTATGCAGATTATCACAGCAAGTATATTCAACAGTAAGATGTACCTACTTGCACAAGAATACCCAGTGCCAGCTTCCACCGCTTGTTAACGCGGATCTTGACTTCTTTGTTATGTTCAGCTCCCTCTCTGGTGTTATTGGACAGCCTGGCCAGATTAACTACGCGGGCGCCAATACCTTCATGGACGCCTTTGCGCAGTACCTCTCGAACCTGGGGCTTCCGGCCTGTGCCATCCAGATAGGTGCAGTCGAAGAAGTGGGATACGTGGCGGAGAATGGGGGAGTCATGCAACAGTTTACGCATACTGGTGGCCTAGAAAGTGCGGTTTCCGAGCAGGAGCTTCTTGAGGCCGTCGAAGCAGCCGTGACTTCGACATCGAGGAACTTCTATCTTGGAGTTCGCTCCAACATGTGCTTAAGTACCCCGGGTGAGCGTTCTCTGTGGAAGGGCGATATCCGAATGGCAGCCTACCATAGGAATGAAGATGCCAATCCCAAAGTAAATGCATCCTCCAGCAATGATCTACAGTCCTTCATCACTAAGGCGAAGGGCGACGCTACTTTGCTGGGTCAGTCTGAGTCTGCTCAGTTCCTCGCTCAAGAGATCGGCAGGAAGGTATGTGATTTCCTGTTGAAACCAGAGGAAGAGTTGCAGACATCGTCCTCTCTGTCGGATTTGGGATTGGATTCCCTTGTTGCTATTGAGTTGAGACAGTGGTGGAAGTTGGTTTTCGGGTTTGATATTAGTGTGCTCGAAATGATGGGGATGGCGAGTCTAAAGGCTCTTGGAGCGCACGCTGCCAAAGGCATGCTGCGCTTGTTTCATGGTGTTAGGGATTGAGTCAACCGACGGTTTGAGGATGTTTTCGCCTCTGATTTTACGTACTTGGTGAGGTGACTGCATAATACTACACCACTCAATGTTGTCTGGCCGGAACCTTTCTGAATGAACATACATAAATATTAGTCTCGCTAGTTGATTTAATGCACACTGTATACATAGCTTTTTCCAATTCTCAGATGTTCCCTCGGTGGTTCCACGCAGTATTGCAATATACCGACTGGTTTCCATGCGATCGACCATATAACTAGTTGTAGGTTACCTCGGCAAACCATATTTAATTTCCACGGGATTTATACGGGATAAGATATCCAGCTACTTAGTCCGAGTGGCACCCTAGCTACTTATCAAGCAGAGATAATCCCAGAGTAACAGAGGGTATGGGCGAGCTGTCCACGGCAAGATCCACAGACCATTGTTCGAGTGAGCGGGAACTCAGCATGAAAGAATCCGCTATTGGCAGCACCAGCTATCGTCTATCTTTACTACAAGCAGGTGAGACGTGGTTAGTAGAATTCAGGAAAGCTTATACTTACTTTGTTAGCGTACCAAAGAGTCCAGTGCTTGATACTTCCATGGACTCGGGTAATTGGTATATTCCCATGGTAAAACGGCGCTCGGGGTTTTGGTACCCCGGTCGGAAGCTTGTCGTTGGAATTGAGGAGACGACTTCGACTAAGTCCGACAATTTAGGCCATAAGAAAAAAAGATCTCTTGAGAGTGCTGGTGTCAACGGTCGCACAATGCTGTGTGATACAATTAAAGAGTTAAAATAAGAAGGTGGGCATGTCCGACCGGACGGAAGGGCGCAACAAGGGTGTGAGAGTCAATATGAAGAAGGGGAAAAAAAGAAGGTTGGAGCTGCGGGGAATCGAACCCCGGACCTCTCCCATGCTAAGGGAATATTATACCACTAAACCACAGCCCCGTTCCTTGTTGAAGGACTGCAATTCTTTTGGCTACATAAATCAATTTTTAAAGATTCTCCCCTTTTCTAGAATATGGTCTGTATTTCAAAATCGCCTCTTATGTTGACTCCAATGGTCTCTGGCTTGAGACTAAAGGTACGCGCAAGAAAATACTAGTTATCAGCATACTTTTGTCATCTTGACCTCTTGGAGTTCCCTAGTTAGAAGTTGTATTTGCGATCAGTTGATGTTCATAGTCACTTACTACCGATGATGACCCGCAGTTGATTCACCTTTTATATACTATTACGGCGGCATTCCATAGCCCGTATAGACCGGATGTTACCTCCGCATGGATTTCGCACTTCAATCATTCCCTCATGGGTCAATCTCTTCACTACCAGATACTATAATCATGCCCTGTTTATACTCTATCCATACTTTGCTTACTTACTAGTAGTTCTCCCGGTGTAGTGTTTCTACCCGTCTCACCTGCCCACGCCTCTGTCTTTTCCGCCCGATTCTGTTGCCTCTAGCAGCAGATCCTGTGCGCTTTAGGGATGTCCTATCCTCCAGATATAAGTACTAGTACCGCTAGGGTGGTATCTGGTAAGAGATCAGAATTCTCTGTAGATACACCCAGAATACCCATGGCTACCACTTCCCCAGATAAGAGAGGCCATTACGATCATCCCCTAGCCTAGGTTGTGTTCTCCCTTATATTAGCGACCTTCCGCAGTGCCAGTACACTTGATTCATGCTACAATACCATTTGTGGCTGTTAATCCGTGTTATAAGCAATATACAAGCCTCCCTTTACGTTGACTGCAAACGGAAAGTGCCGTGTAGGAGCTCGAGTAATGCTACTTCCTACCAATCAGGTGATGTCGGACGGGACCGACGCGTCGCCGCGTTTTTTTAACTTCACCAGCTCATTTCAGTCACCAGCTCCTGGCAACCTTCTTGGAGATAATAGCAGTCCAGATGTCATGATTTTAAATGTGTTTATCAAATAAGAATTGTCAGAGCTAATACTACAGTACCTTGACTTCTGGTTTACTTCTGTCGGATTCCGACCAATCTTCAGCTAAGATGATAGCAGGCGCCACGGCGTGCAGATATTAGTTATGGCATCGCGGAGCAATCAACCGCCCTGAGCACAAGCACCCGAGTTGCCGGACCCCGTGTCAGCATCCCACTGATGACAATCTTCCATCACAAGTACACAGTCGAAGTTGACATACAAATCCCTACACCCCCTCCTAAGATGAGGCGCAAATCATAATCAAACCCGGCGGGGACTCCGGCTATGAGGTCGACCTTGCAGTGGCCAGTGCAACACTGTTCAACCCAAATATCGATCATGCTATTCAGAACGCCGCAAGAGGTACGGGGCCATAAAAGCATGTTACCGATGGTTCGTCGGTCAAAGAACATATGACGAGAATCAAAAATGTACCGAAACGCGCGGGGAAGGCTTCAGACGTAGGCCAAGACCCCAGATCCCGAGCTTTGGCGGACCGATTTTGAGCCATGGAACCCAGGTGGCATTCACACAGCTGCCATTGGATTGTTGCAAGTCAACCTGTCATATGTGCCGGGGTAATTTCCCCTCTGAGTGATGACATAAGAATTGACTTTCCCCGGATCCCAACCAGAAATCAGTCTTCCCCATCAAAATGCATGCAGCATGACATGTTCGGTATGACCGAATTCCCCGAGCCCCAGAGTTACAATCTCGGCCCATGTCAGAACATCAGTGGCTGATGCGGGGTCCCATGGGCCAGAGTTCAGGACCACCACGTGAGCAGTTGAACACTCATGCTGGGGTACCCTTGTCCGAACAAAGTATTGGAGACGAGTTCCTTTTCGCCTGTCAGACAACCAGACAAAGAAGCAAGCGAGTCCAGTCTAATTGATGACATCACGGACCCATCATGCGGAATTGCTGACAATCCTCCCTTCGTCTATATATTTGGAGCTTCATGCCTGACTCTCACAGCTCGGTACCGCAGGGAGACTGTGCCATTACGGTCTGAAAATTCGACACCAACTTTATCTGACAAATATGAGATTGCCAAAGGTCAAAATGCCTCGTAAGAGGCCGCAAGACGAATTCAATGGTGATGTGTTGCAGCAAGAGGCGCAAGCCACCGGCCCCAATGGCCAGAAATCTGAAGAGGAGACAGTGGATACACCTATCCCTCTGCTCACGTGGCGCTCTTTCTTAATGGGTATTTTCGTGTCAATGGGTGGTTTTCTTTTTGGCTACGACACTGGCCAAATTTCGGGCTTCTTGGAGATGCCGAACTTTCTCCAAAGGTACGGACAACAGCATGCCGACGGAACATACTATTTCTCCAATGCCCGTTCGGGTCTGATCGTCGCGCTGGTAAGACACGCATGGACAGCTTGACCCAAGTTCAATTTTGCTGATAAGCGCAGCTATCAATCGGTACCTTGATCGGCGCTCTTATTGCGGCTCCCATCGCAGATCGCATTGGCCGGAAATGGTCCATCAGCGGCTGGAGTGCCATGGTGTGTGTTGGTATCACCATACAAATCTCTTCTCCATTCGGCAAGTGGTACCAGGTCGCCATGGGTCGTTGGGTAGCTGGTCTCGGCGTTGGGGCTCTATCCTTGCTTGTTCCCATGTATCAAGCAGAAACTGGACCCAGGCACATTCGTGGATCACTTGTTAGGTATGCCTACAAACTTGTGGTATTATTATAATATGGAAGCTAACGTAAACAGCACCTATCAGCTTTTCATCACACTTGGAATTTTCGTCGCCAATTGTATCAACTTCGGAACAGAAGACCGGAATGACACTGGATCCTGGCGTATTCCCATGGGCGTCACTTACATTTGGGCCATCATCCTGGGCTTCGGAATCGCACTATTCCCAGAAAGTGCCCGATACGACTATCGTCATGGAAAGGAGGCTAAAGCAGCCCGTACCCTCTCGAAAATGTACGGGATTCCTGAAAATCACCGAATGCTGAAGCTCGAGATCGACGAAATCCGGCAGAAATTCGTGGAGGAAAAGGAACGCGGACAGATAACCTGGTCCCATCTATTCCATGCACCCCGCATGACATATCGCGTCGCAGTTGGAGTCGCCCTTCAAGCACTGCAACAGTTAACTGGTGCGAATTATTTCTTCTACTACGGAACTACGATTTTCCGAGGCGCCGGTATTTCAAATTCATACGTTACACAAATGATCCTAGGCGGTGTAAATTTCGGAACAACATTCCTAGGGCTGTATTTGATTGAGAACTATGGTCGTCGACGATCCCTGATAACAGGAGCATTGTGGATGTTTGTCTGCTTTATGGTTT